TGTCCCCGACCCCCCCGCGCCCCCCGTCTGCCGCCCCCCCCCCCCCCCCGGTCCAGAGCCCTCCCTGCAGCTGGGAATGCACCAGAAGCATTTACGAGTGTTATTAAAGTGTGTGTTATTTTTGGAGGAGCTGGGATCTGAAAGGTTTGCATTTTTTTGCCTGTGGAATACAGTTTATTTAGAGCAGAAAGAGAGAGCAGAGCAGCGGGCTGCCCGTGCACCCTGTGTTGCCCTGAAATGCCACCCTATGGGCTGTGCACAGGCTGGGTGTCCCCATGGGTGCCAGGGATGGTGGCACCAGGGTGCAAGGCAGTGGGGAGATGGGTGCCAGGGAGCCTGTGCAGAGCCAAGGCCCTCCTGCCCCACCATGACGCAGGAGCTGGACAGGGAGGCTGGGGGCTCAGCTTGCTTCTCTCTCGGAGGATTTTCCCCATGTGGGCAGTGCCAGCCCACAGTGTCCCCAGTGCAATCACAGCTTATGGGTGTCCCCAACTGCAATCACAGCCCGTGGGCATCCCTGAGTGCAATCAGCCTGTGAGTGTCTCCAAGACTGCAGTGCCAGCCTGTGGATGCCCTCAATTGCTGTGCCAGCCCCTGAGGTGCCCCTAAGCCAGTGCCAGGAAGCAGGGTCCCTCAGGCCCCAGGGTGCAGTGACAGGGTGTGCCTAGGACAGTGCCAGCCATGTGGTGTCCTCTAGCACAGAGACAGCTCTGGCCAGAGCAGAAGTAGGTCTCAGGCCCTGGGGGTGGATGGCTGGTGGTGTCCCTGGGGCATGGTAACAGCACACTGCCAGCCCATGTGTGTCCCAAGTGCAGGGCCAGCTGCGGGATGTCCCCCACAGTGATGAAAAGCAACAGGGTGTCCCCCTAGCCCAGTGCCACTGGGGTGTCCCTGGGGAAGTGCCACCAGAAATACCCCTACTGAAGTGCTCCGGGGTGTCCCTAGCACAGTGCCCCCCCAGGGTGTCCCTAGTACAGTGCCCCAGGGTGTCCCTAGTGCAATACCCTGGGGTGTCCCTCACCCGGTTCCACCGGGATGTCCCTAGCACAGTGTCCTCGGGGTACCCCTAGTGCAGTGCCCCCGGGTGTCCCTCTCACAGTGCCACCGGGGTGTCCCTCGCCCGGTGCCCCCGTGGGTGCCCGGCGCCGGGGCTGCGCTGGTGCCCGCCGGGGGTGCCGCCCTCCCGTCCCGATCGGCGCGGCGGGGCTGGTTGCGAGCCTGTCCCTAAAAGGTGCTGGCGGGCGGCGGGGGAG